CAAAAAGTACTCGACTACATCACTGCCATAAGCCCCCTTTGTACTCCATCATCGCCCGCAATTTTTCACTGGTGATTTGCATCCTTAAAACATTGTTTACCAAAGTGTAGGAAATTGAACATTCATGCCATCGTTGGTGCTTGGTATGATCTGACAACATCAAATTTGATGTTTGCTCAGTTGCTTGTATTAGGCTATGTACCCAAAGTGTTCATGTGCAGTTATTGCCCTTTTCAACCGCTTTCTTCTGGAGTTAATTGGGGGGAATAAACAGCCAAGTTGTTTAAAAGGTATCATGTTTTATTTGAATCATTTAGTACGGCATTTATACAAAAAGGTATTTTATGAGATCTTATGGTCACTCCTTGTGATGAAATAACGCATTTTGTTTGTTATAAACTTAACTGTCCTGTGGTGGTCAACACGTTGTTGGCCAGTCTTAGCCAAATTCGTGGAAAGACTTTGAAAACTGGTATTTAGGAGTGAAAAAAAAATAAAATGACAAACCTTGCATGGATAATGGAAAAGTGCTTTAAAATCTTTTAAAAAAAATATTCATGATGGCAAAAGTAAATCTACTGTCCTGATCACTGTATTAAGTTGTACTTAATTGCAAAGAAAACACCACAAATATTGCTAGGATATTACAGGTACCACTTGTCCAGCTAAGCTGCAGGCAGTAAGCAGGCATTTTGATGGAATGTTTACTATTGTTCGTCTGACCTGGCAGCGATGATCATTGGGCCTTTTGATATGTCAAAGTTTTAACTCCTCCCGTGTCCTTCCTCCATGGGATATGTATTGCTGATATTGTTAAAGAATGGGCCCATTCAGTGTTCAAGTAGTGCATAACAGCAATGAAGCATGAACGAGGGCATTTGGTAAGAGCAGTGAGCACATGCAAGGTCTGCTGCCAAAGCGCGACTTGCATACACGTACATGTGTGCTTTGTTCTGGAACCTTTCCTTTCTGAAATACCGAACTAGCTCTTGACAAGCTCCACTGCATGTACTTTAGAAATGGTACTACCATCTTCCCATAGGGACTTTTCCTATGGATGAAAAGAAAGTACAGTCATTTCAGACTAAAGATTGCTAAAGTTGTGGCCCTCCTGGACTCATAATCTGGATACGCCTCACAGTTTGGGGTGATTTCTCCAGTGACCTCCAAAGTTCTATTTTTGCCCTTTTCTCAACAGATACATGTACATGTATGTCATGTTCATGTGGGAAATGTGGCAAATGACCCAAAGCAGATCCAAGGTAAACATAGATGAAATATACCCCTTCATTTGGGTTTCCATTTTGTTTACTTCCAACAGCATCTCACCTGTCGATAGTCATTGCCATTGCCCTGCTACTCTTCCAAGGGATAAGGCGACTTTATGAGTGCCTGTTTGTTAGTAGTTACTCCAGTTCCACCATGCACGTTGCCCATTACATACTGGGCATCTTGTTCTATGCCCTGGCTGGTATGTCTGTCCTATCTGAAGGACCTGACTTCCGAAAGCCAGGTCAGTGGAATTTTCTTTTCAGTCTGTTTCACTCAGTCTTTCTGATCTGGTTTAAGATAGATGTATTCTTAGCAATGTTTCGTCATGCTGCTTTTTCCATGAGATTATGTGAGGTAATCAGGTGATTTATTAGATTTATTAGCAGTGCCTGTTTTAGGAGCATATTCTTCAGACATCCAGGCAAGGTTTCCTCATGCGTTGTGATCCTGCATTCAAGGGAAAGTTTGATTTTTGCCTGGTATTTAGTTTATGTTTTGTGCATACAATGCAGATCCCCAGCACAGGGAAAATGTACTAGTGGTCGACACTGTTGATTATCACTCAAACTTGTCCCAGTATGGCTCTGGTTCAGTGGAAATTTATTATCAGTAAATGTAGGGGTATTAGGTCAGAATATTCAAAGGTTGCAAAGACAGTAGCAATGAACTGACTTTAATGCTCCTACCTACTTCAGTGAATGGCTGGATCTGGACTAAAGACAAATGCTTTTGTCCTTGTGGAGCATACACCTAGAAGCTACAGATACGTGGGGGGGGGACTTCAGTGGTGAACTGTGCTTTTCCTCCCCCTCTCCTTTTGTAATTTGAAATGTATGCAACCTGTTTGGGTAATTCCAGAAATTAGTGGTCCAAAAGTGGGACATATGTTGGTGTCCCTGACACATCTGACCTTTGTTCTGAGTATTTGACATGGAAATATCACCGGAATTGATTTCAAACTATTTCTATTTGTTTGGCACTCGTGGAAATCACAAAATGTGTTCTGAACTTACAAAATCATATTTCAGATGTGACAGGGACACACACAAAATGGACCCCTTGCTAATTTCTGGAATGACCCACTTGTAGGTCACAGTTAATGCATTTGCAGGACCCTTTGGAAAATAATGTGTGTACTCCTGATTGGCCCCCTTAGGTAGTTCACCCCAGTTACATGTACATCTACGCTACTGATGTGCATATCGTGGTTCACAAACATGGTGATACTGCAGCAGTGGTGTGTCAGTTTGGTCGCTGAATAATTCTGAATGCACACATCCATTCACTAGATACTGAGAGGAAGGAAATGTACATGTACATCAGATCAAGTTGGAGTAAGCTGCAGAGCTCAGATTGTGTCATTGGCAAAATAGATATACATGTACATACTTTGGAAGGCTTCACAGACATCTGGTATGGTGTGTTTTGAATTTGAAGTCAGTCCTTTTCATTATGCAGTAGGGGCGGGAGGGACCACCTGTTTCTGTTGCCACATGTATATACCCAGCAAGAAATGAGACCGAGGGGTACCCCCCCAACATGTCCAATCCCTATACACATTCCAGACTATTGTTAGTTAACACGTCCCCCCAAGATGTCAGAAAGGAATTCCCCAGATTCCTGCGAGACAATGACCAACACAAAGCAGGGGGGGGGTTCTCTCCGTCTCATACCTTGCTGCATATGTACATGTACACAGAGGCAGCTTTGATTCCACACCGTTTGAACAATGGTCTTTGTGATACTGTATGTGTTCGCTTTTGCCTTGTAGCACCCTTTGATAATGCATGGCAGGTGGTCCAGCAGGTGGAATGGTTCAATGTTGCTGGTATCATCGTGTTTTTCTGGGCTACCTATCACCACCATGTCGCCCATAAAATATTTGCAGGGCTGCGCAAAGGAGATCGAGGTAATTAGACTAAAGAGTGGTAGATGATTAGATTTTTTTTTTTAATGGAAGTGAGACTCGGCAAAGTGAGAACCAGACCACATCAGGTACACTAGGGTAGAAACACAATCTGCAAAATGTTCCATGTAATGTGTAGGGCCAACTTTACCACTTCCTGAAATATCAGATGGTTTCAAACATTTCACCTGTAACTTTGAGATTTTAAGGTGTGGAAACAGTGAGTGGATTCAGCGCTTTTGAATGTTTTTGTTTAATTGATTTCTGCATGCCTAACCTGTGCTTTGTTTTATTATTAAGTGAGTTTTCAGATTTTAGATGCGTTGCTCGCTGATAAGAACTATCCCCATTATAGATGCACCAGACAGTGTTTTCTTTCAGGAAATAGTGAACAAATTCTGGTAGTGTAGCTACAGGATATGAAAGTAGTTTTTTCCCATATGCGTGTACAACGGTTTATCTCCAGGTCTCCAATCTTGTCCCCTTAATTAAAATGGACATTTGTAAGAATGCATCGTGTATTTGTTGAGCACTGTTTGTGGCTAATGTCATGTTAATGGGTGAGATTAAACATACGTCATTTGTGCATTATGTCCCTTTGAGGCAACAAAAGTACTTGAAATCTAAAGAAGGGTGCCTTTGAGCAAACCTGAAATTTCAGCAGAGTGAATACATGTACTGTATATTCGGAGAAAAAAACACATTCCAGAATTTGGATTTCAAATCAAAAGTTGCTGGGTTAGGTTATGAAGTTTGCCTGAATTCTAGTCATTGCAGGCGTGTGTGTCATGTCAACACTTGCATGCTTCTCACGGCTATTTTCCAAAATTGCATCTTTGGACACATTGTTGGAAATGGCCTTCTTTCATTTTCTTCAAAATGATATTTTGCTAGAAAGAATGCTTTCATTGGGAGTTTAGTCCCATATTACCGTCTTCTAACCAAGTATGTCCTTCAACAGTAATTTGGTAAAAAAAACCGAGGGCCCAACATTTTGTGATTTACTTTTTGGATAACTGCAGATGGACTGTACATGTATCTTTAATACAGATTCCCCAATTTATTTACCATTCTGCTCTCTTCAATGCAGATCGCAGTCACAGGATCCCACGCGGCGACTGGTTTGAGCTGGTGTCTTGCCCACACTACCTTGCCGAGATCCTCATCTACGTTGCCCTGGTGATGGTCCTGGGCTTTGCCCATCCAATGAGCTACCTTGTCCTTGGCTTCACCGCCTCCAATCAGGTCTTTGCGAGCATTTCTGTCCATGCATGGTATCAGAAAACCTTTGACAACTACCCAAAAGGTAGAAGGGCCATCATCCCGTGGCTGATTTGAATTTATTGCAGCACCTCGGCAAAACATTTTATGGGTTCATGCAGATTTTTAATTCGGGTGTATTTGTGTAATTTCACCAGATGCTTTCATCAATCTGAAATAAAAGTAATCTAGATTTTCATGAAAATGGATTTATTTCGTGAAAATAATTTTGAATAAAAATAAAGAGTCCTTTTGATATTGCTTTGAATATTTTCAATCTCTTTAAATGTATTTTGTACTGTATATCACATTTTTTCAATTAGCAAAGCATTAATGAACCAATTGGTGACGGTTGATAGCTATTTATTACTTTGCGCTGTTCATTCCTAACCCTTGCAACAAGCAATTCCTCCATAATTAAATTGCTGTAAAGCTGTATTAAAACTTCCATTTTTCATATAAGGTGGAATTTCTAAATATTATGACTTGAACGTATGTTTACATGCAGTTTGTGAAAAACATACTTCTAAATGGGCTATTCAGAAGCAGATATTGAGCTATATGCAGTTCTGCTTTGTGGGGAAATGTTGGCATATGTAGGGCCTGTTTGTTTCACATGG